AAAGCTGAATAAATAAGCTTTCCATTGATGTATGGTTTGTTAGAATAGGACAATATTTGGCTGAGATACAACTATTTGAAAATCTGGAATCTGAGGGTGCAAAAAAATCAAAATATTGAGAAAATCGCCTTTAAAATTGACCAAATGAAGTTCTTAGCAATGCATATTACTAATCAAAAATTAAGTTTTAATATATTTACAGTAGGAAATTTACAAAATATCTTTATGGAACATGATCTTTATTTAACATGCTAATGATTTTAGGCATAAAAGAAAAATCAATAATTTTGACCCATACAGTGTATTTTTGGCTATTGCTACAAATATACCCAAGCGACTTAAGACTGGTTTTGTGGTCCAGGGTCACATATTATATTTGCGGCTGCAAGATTTCACAAGCTGAAAAGAACACGTCACACCTCTGTTTATCAATTTGCACTGGCTACCAATAGCTGCTCGCATAAAATTCAAGGCATTGATGTTTGCCTACAAAACCACCACTGGCTCTGCACCCCTTTACCTAAATTCACTACTTCAGACTTATTTGCCCCCTAGAAGATTGCATTTTGCAAGAGAATGGCACATTATTGTGCCATCCCAAAGAGGCACAAAATCACTTTCACAGACTTTTACATTAAATGTTCCCTTCTGGTGAAATGACCTGCCCAACTCAATCAAGTCCTTAGCTATTCTCAAGAAATGGCTAAAAACACATCTCTTACATCTTCATTTGACCCTCTAAAAAAAGAAAAGAAAAAAAAAGAGCCTCTAACACTAGCATTCTTTGTTCTTTTTCTATTCTGTCTACTTGTTTTCTTTTTATTTATTATAAAAAATGACCCTCTAACACTAGCATTCTTTATTCTTTTCCTATTCTATCTACTCGTTTTCTTTTTATTTATTATATGTGTTAAGCTAAGCAAGACTTGTCACATCACTTACATATTATTGCTCTTTTGTTGGTTTTGATTGCTTCTATTGTCCTCATTTGTAAGTCGCTTTGAATAAAAGCGTCTACTAAATGTAAATAGATGTAGATGTAAATATTTCAAAAGGGCAATAAGCATACGTGCAGTATGCAACGTAGTATGCATGCATGTCATCTTTGGCATGGTCAGTTGGACCTTAAACAATTAATATTCAAAAAATAATATCAATCTTACTATATTGAAACTATCAAATAAGAACACACAAATCTGAACTGAATAATGACACTATTGTCTTCTGTAGAGCTGCTCTATAACAAATCGAAGTCGTTTCAAAATTTATGAAGTTTGCAACACTGACACTGTTGTTGAACTGAACTGAGCTGAATAATGACACTATTGTTTTATTGTAGAGCTGCTTTATAGCTCCGTTTCATAATTAATGAACTGCATCCTTAACACTATTGAACTGAACTGAATCAACATTAAACTAAATTGAGAAGAATAATGAGACTACTGTCTGTAGAGCTGCTTTACAGCTGAAACTGAAGCTGTTGTTTAAACTAAATATAGCTGAAATTGAGGTCATTTCATCACTGATGACACTAACTGTTATTTTCCTGTTTATTATTGTGAAGCTGTTTTTAAACAATCTGTGTTATATAAAGAGCTATATAAATAAGTATGACTTCAGTATAAATTATTTAAAAGTTAAAATATTAATTTACATAGAAAATTTAAAAAGTCAATATGCATACTAGCAATATGCATATATATCTCACATTTGGCTTGGTCAGCTGGGGCTTAAAAGACAATTAATATTCAGAAAATATCATTGATCTAACTGTACTTACACTATCAGATGCAGATGAGAACATAAAAACCTGACCTGAAAAATAACACTACTGTATTCGGCAGAGCTGCTTTAGAGCAGAAACTGAGGTCGTTTCATAATTGATGAAGTCTGCTGCATCTACACTTTTATTGAACTGAATTGAATCAACACTCAACTGACTTGAACTGAACAATGACACTGTTGTCTTCTGCCCAGATGCATCTGACAGTCGGATCTGACGTAATTTCATAATTCATGAACTGACACATTGACTCTTATTGAACTGAATTTAATTAAATTTGCCTTGAATAATGGCACAATAGTCTTCTGAAGAGCTGCTTTATAGCTGAAATTGAGGTTGTGTCATAACTAATTAAAAAATCTTAATTTTCATATGTTTAAGTATTAAGTATGAATCGTCTTATAATTCATTCCTTGTGCGAACCGTGACATTTGTTTACATTTTACTGAAGTTGTGAGCTTTGCCATAAAGTCTGGTGAACCATTTAAAAATATTTCCTTGAATTACATCACAATCACATTAATTATTTTAATTAGTGAGTTTGAGTGGTAATGCATATCAGGAATGACCCGAGGCGCCTCACCTCCCAGCGGCGGCTGCTCGAGACCTTCCTCTTTGATCTGCATTTGGATCAAATCTCCCTCCTCACGAAACTCACGCATCTGGAATCCGAAAGACAACAAATAATAAATGTTTTTGCACATATATTTTTACTTCCACTATAAAATACTCAAAACAACTGGTCCTCTAACCTCTGCCATCGTTTTTCTGCCCACTAGCGACTCGCGAGTACTAACGTTACCATCACACCGACCATCCCGCGCCACGGTTTTCTCGTCACTGTACCCCCGCGCCGCGACGATGGACTCTATGAGCTGCAGTTTCCGTCGGAGCTCCTTGTTCTCTTTCTGGTGGCGTGAGATCTCGATGTGTAAAACCGCGTAGCCGTCGTCTACGAGCTCGCAGATTTCTGCCACCGCCGCGCGAGTCAGCGTCTCCATGATGGTCGCGAGCTGGGTGTGAAACGCCCGGTAATTCGCCATCCTTCGCGCTCCTCTGCGTTCGGGCCGCCTGTAGGTCCCGTGGAAAACCGTGAGCGTTGCAGTACAAGTTTAGAGTACGGCGATTACGGAGTTCGTTGTCCGTGAAATAAGACTGTCCTGCGTTGTTTTGATTTTCGGTCTGAAACGGTGCAAACGCTTTGACACTGTTGCTAGTGGAGGCTGATGCCGTTTCCGGGGGGCTTCTCTCAGATGTTTTGTCAAAATAAAAGTCACTGTGGACTATTTTTGTAATGTTAAAACTTCAACTCATAAACCGTCAATATAATTATTAGCAACGAAACGCCTGATAATCGAATTCACAGGTAACTAGGACAATATATACACAATATATGTACATTATACACACACAACTGTAATTCAATTACAGCAGTTCTGATATACAGTAACGCTGCACTCATGCTCTTGTGAAATATATTAGCAATAAAAATACAGAAATCTTTACCCAAGTAACGTTACACTGGAAGGTTCTGAACACCCCGTCCCACACAGAAAGACAGACTAAGGCGACTCAAAGTTAGTAAAGAACTTCACAAGTGAATTTCAGGTTCAATACTTTGGGTGGTTTATTTGACTCCCACTGCAGACAATAGCGTCAGATCATTTGTTTTCTAAAGTGATGAAGAGTTCAAAATCATGATCCTGTACATTTCATTATTCTGCATTATATCAGACATTTCGAATAATGTGATTAACATACATTTCAATAACTATCTCTTTCATGTTTACAGGTGTATTATCATCTGTATCAGTAAGAACTATTAAAAGTACAGAATATAACAAATATTTATTAATTATGGCATAAGGACAGGTATGAGTACATAAGACAGATGTATGTGAATAAGGCTGAATTTATCTGCGGCTGGTGCTACCAGATTTCCTCTTCCCAGCAAGGAGATGTTTGGGTTTGACATCAAACACATGTCGATCAGATTCACCCTTCCTTCCCTGCCTGTTCATCTCCTTCTGTGAGCTCTTCATCATGGTCTTTACCTTCTTCAACATCTGGGAGAAAAAAGACAGAGTCCAATGAACACATCTCTCTATGAAAATCTTTGGAACACTCTACATTAAGATTCCCTTAATTCATTAATGACCAATAAATCTTTTACAAATGCATTCATGTATAAAGTTATAACTGAATAATAACACCTGAATAAAAAGGGTGATATAATGCAATACTTGCCAAATAGTAAACCATTTTTAACTCATGTTATAAATGCTTAATAAATTAATGAGAAAACTACAAATACAACATCCTTCAGTCTGACTATAATAGTCCATTTTGCTGCATCATGAAATAAATCAGCAATCTGGTTTTAAGTGAAATAAGTATGAATAAAAATGTAAGCATTTTTATCACGGTTTAAAAATGGCTCGTTATTTGGCAGGTATTGTATTAAAGTCACTATGCACTTATAACTATCAATTATTTATAAGGCACTGTAAATAAGCTATTAATCATTAATAAACACCTCTATAAACCATTTTAAAAAGGAACCTTAATGTAAAGTGTTACCAAAATCTCTATAACCTGCTACTGAGTGACTATCTTTCATAAATTCATTTCATATTTGTCTAGAAAATTAATATTTATATTAGTGCTGGGCAACGATTATTATTATTTTTTTAATCGTGATTAATCGCATGATTGTCTGTGATTAATCGCATTGTTATGCACAAAAAATTAATAATGCATTCAAAAGTAGTGTATTGTGCACTTTTTTTCATTTAAAAGTACTGCTATATGAACAAAAGTGCAATAACATTTGGTTTGCAAACACTTTAAACAAATAAGGTGCTTTTTTAAAGCAGTATTCCTTTTACAAAGTAGCAGTTAAAATATTTCTTGTAAATCTTAACTTATAACATTAATGTAATCAAATTAAATATAAAACCAAAGCTATTTGCCACTGCCAGGGCATTAACGTTTTTATAGAAAATATTTTATAGTTTGTTATAGAAAAACAAGTTATGCTCATGAGTCCAGAGCCTCGATCATAACATTATAACAGGTGTTATGTGTTACCGTGTCCCAAACGACTCAAAATAATAAACCACAAAGTTATCAAAAGGATGCACTCCACTGTGCTGAGCGAGAGCGCTTCTCCGCTGTCTTCACATGCTATCGGAAACTTCCTATTTCTCACTTATGAAGTTGTGATTACGAGCATGTTGCATTCTTTTCTGTTAAAAATAACAGTGAACAGTGGTTTGTGAATGTTGATGCTTAGCCTAAATATCTTTATCGGGAGCGTTAATGTGAGCGCTGCTGCAGTCTTAGGCCCACCCCAAATGCTCTCATTGGTTGAGATGCGTGATGACACCCAACCCATGAGTCCAGAGCCTCGATCATAACATTATAACAGGTGTTATGTGTTACCGTGTCCCAAACGACTCAAAATAATAAACCACAAAGTACCCAAGCCAGTACCCCCCGCCCGTGACACATGGTTTGTCTGTATGTGTATTCAGAGCCAGTGAGCAACGGACTTTCATAATAATAAAAAAACTGCGTTAATGCGCGATAACGCGTTAACTTGCCCAGCCCTAATTTATATTAATATCTATTATATTTATAATACTATCTGTAATACTGATTTCAGAATTTGATTTGTTAAAGAAGATTATGCTTCAGGTAACGCAGGCACTACCTTGGCATCTCTGACTCCTGATTGGTCCCTTGGTGGTCTCGAGGCGCTCTGACTGCGAGTGCGTGATGTTGGTGGCGCAGAGACTTCCCTCTTCCTCTTTCGAACCAGAGAGCGAGATCTCAGAGCATAGTGGCTCTAGAGGGATATAAGGTGAACACAAGCAAGCTCAGATATGTATACAGAAATTGATCGCCATGACCACATGGCACACAAAATCAAGTGTGTTACCAATAAGGTTATAAATAATGGAAAAGCTTCAAGTATACAGATACTTACATCATCTTTATCGGTCATGTCCAAACCCAGATCAGCCATCTCCTTCTCCAGAGTCGCTCTTTCCACCTGCATCCACATATACCAATCAAATCAATCCATCTTTAACCAGCTAACTAAAAAGCTGACAAAAATGTGATTTAATAGGATGCTGAACAACAAATATTCCATATTAGAAACCCTTGGTCACTTATCTTAAGGTATCCTTGTTACAGAGTAATTATACATTTAGGTACGGAGTAACATTAGTTAAAAACATGTCCTTATTTTATAGGGTTAGGAATAGGGTTTGGCTTAGGGTTAGCCGTGTGTAATTATGCATACTTTACTGTATTTGCTATAGTAAATACATGTAATGTGTAACAAGGACACTGTATAATAAAGTGTTACCAAACTTTAATAAAAGGGATAGTTCAATCAAAAATGAAAATTCTGTCATTAATTACTCACCCTCATGTCGTTCCAAACCCGTAAGACCTTCGTTCATCTTCGGAACACAAATTAAGATATTTTTGATACATTCCGAGAGCTCTCTGACCCTCCCATAGACAGCAAGGATCCTTTCACAATCAAGGCTCAGACAGATAGCAAGGAGATCGTCAAACTAATCCATGTGACATCAGTGGTTCAACCGTAAATTTATGAAGCTGTGAGAATACTTTTTGTGCACAAAGAAAGCAAAAAGAACGACTTTATTCAACAATTTGTCTCCTCTGTGTCACCCTATAGCACTATTTTGGAGAGTATCACAACGCATGCGCGTGATTTGTTCTGAGCATAACGCATGCGTGTGGTGTTACTGATGTAGAACACGCATGTGCTGTGCCTTGTTTACATTCAGAGCACGTGTATGCGTCGTGATAAGATGGATTTTGTTGCTGCTGAATTTATTTGATTAATAACAGTCCTGTAGAGTTGTGTTATTCTAATTTAATTTATTGATTAAATGTGGGAAATTGACACTAAAGATGATGAATATATCATGGATATCTAATTCAACACTCATGCAACATTTCAGGTTTCTGGTATTAGTTTTCGTACAGGGCCGGAATTCATTTGAAAATGTAAGGTCAGCAAAATCTTTTTTGAAAGACTTCCTCTGATAAATCAAACTGTGATGCAGGTCGAATCCTGTTGAGGGAGGATTCATCCAGATAAATATCAGGGCCCGCATTCACAAAACATCTTAAGGCTAAAAGTAGCTCATAACTCACCGATTTAGGAGAAAATCTTAAAAATAATGGGTGTGTCAGGTCCTTATTTTATAGGGTTAGGAATAGGGTTTGGCTTAGGGTTAGCCGTGTGTAATTATGCATACTTTACTGTATTTGCTATAGTAAATACATGTAATGTGTAACAAGGACACTGTATAATAAAGTGTTACCAAACTTTAATAAAAGGGATAGTTCAATCAAAAATGAAAATTCTGTCATTAATTACTCACCCTCATGTCGTTCCAAACCCGTAAGACCTTCGTTCATCTTCGGAACACAAATTAAGATATTTTTGATACATTCCGAGAGCTCTCTGACCCTCCCATAGACAGCAAGGATCCTTTCACAATCAAGGCTCAGAAACATAGCAAGGAGATCGTCAAACTAATCCATGTGACATCAGTGGTTCAACAGTAATTTTAGGAAGCTACGAGAATACTTTTTGTGCACAAAGAAAACCAAAATAACGGCTTTATTCAAAAATGTTTCTCCTCCGCGTCACCCTTTAGTGCCATTTTGGAGAGTATCACATACATAAACAACATATGTACGCGGATACGTTGTTTACGTTCAGATCTAAGCGTAATGTAATACGCATGTGATACTCTCCAAAATGGCGCTATAGGGCCGAATTGGTGAATAAAGTCATTATTTTTGTTTTCTTTGCGCACAAAAAGTATTCTCGTAGCTTTATAACATTACGGTTGAACCACTGATGTCACATGGATTAGTTTGACGATCTCCTTGCTATGTTTCTGAGCCTTGATTGTGAAAGGATCCTTGCTGTCTATGGGAGGGTCAGAGAGCTCTCGGAATGCATCAAAAATATCTTAATTTGTGTTCCGAAGATGAACGAAGGTCTTACGGGTTTGGAACAACATGAGGGTGAGTAATTAATGACAGAATTTTCATTTTTGGGTGAACTATCCCTTTAATATCTACAACATTTACCTAAAATACGTAAGTAATATCTGATATAAAACCACTTCCTATCATTTAAACATATACAAAAATAAGACT